AAGAAGCGATACAACTTTTCATTATCATTTAAGAAGTCATAAAGACTCTATTGTTTGATTTCAACTCAATTTCTTCCTAGATAAATGACTATTGAGCCATCACAGTGCATTGTTACAGACAGTTAAAAAAGAATGTGACAAAAGTAGGTTAAAAAAACTGTCAAGAGAAAGGCCGCTGAAATAAAGAACATTAAAATGAGAATTACAGTCTGCCAGTAAATACCAATACTAATGGCAATGCCAAAACATTGAGGCCATATACTTTCTCCCTCAACTATAAAAGTGTGAGTTCATGTTTTATTAGATCTTCAACTATAATATACAACTGTTAGAAATGTAAAAATTCATAAATGTATAAAAGAGAGGTCAACATTTTGGAAGATCACCACAAAAAACTCCTCTAATTGATAATTAAATTTATATGGTTTTTCACAGTACTTTAGAAGGTTAGTACACCCCTAACTTATGAACTATAAGCGAATGAAGATCCACCGAAAGCTATGTACTTGCGAGTTGGAATATATGCTCTCAATTCTATTTTTATAATTCTTAGCATTGTCCTAAAGAAGTAAGATTAAGTCATGTTTCAAAGTCTAGAATTTTTTTTATAAGGTCAAAATCAAGGATCCTTACAATGAAGGCTTAATATCTCTAAACAAGTTAATTGGGTAAAAGTACGTAATAAAACCAAAATAGATGGAAACCTATACCTTCACTGTTCACATTAGGAAGATATATTATGTCCCTTCTTTTTTGGGCATAAATTTAAACCCCCTTATTAGATTAAGCTCCCTCATTATTAGATAATTCATATATACGAATGAGTAATCACCAATCAATTTTTAGAAGCTACCACTACTCAGAAAGTTCTGATGCTGAAGCACTTTCTTATTCGCTTAAAGATAGTTATTCTTTCTTCTAATCATTTAGAATTCACTCATTCTGCATTCTCATAAAATATTTTCTTCGCCATCATACAATCTCCTTCTCTACTCAAAACTGCTACAATGTCCGAACAAAAATTTCTGAATCATTAACAATTACTTTTATATAAGTTTGACCTAGCCAACTCCCAATAATTCAAGAAAGTAACCACTGAGTCTAAAGTTTATTGAATTGCATAAAACAACATCGTATATGGAAAAAAATAAAATAGAAATACCTACTCATGTGAAGGACAAATCAAAAAAGGCAGCCCGGAGCACAAAGAATCTAGCACTCACGCAAGGTACGGGGAAGGGTCGCACCTCCAAATCCAAATCAACAAATACTTGTAAGATCACAAGTATGTCCAAGAGGAAAATACATTTCAGATCCCATACACACATGATCAACACTTAATAAAAAGGCGTATACATAAGTATAATAAATAAATAAATAAATAAAAAAGAGGAGAAAGAAAGAAAGATAAACCTTGAGAGGATGAAGACCGACTTTGAGATAGAAGGCAATGTATTTGCTTCGGCATCCCTTAACCTCTTTCTCATCTAGGGCATCCCTAGACAAAGGTAAACAAAAAAATTTATCGAAAATCTTCAATAATAGTCCAGGGATTTTTAGCAACAAAATCATATGTGGAGCAAAGACCAGAAATGAGAAATTGACATAAGGGGTTACTGCAGAAAGAGAAGAAAAATCAGGAATTAAACTAAAGAAGATACATGAGGTACAATCCAATAATCGAAGCGTCTCTGCAGATGGTAAAAAGATCCGAATTTGGTCCCTGTTGAACAAGTCTTAGAGTAAGAGAGCAATGAAAGAGCTGAACAGTAAGACAACCAAGATAAAAAGAGAATTAGAAAAGTGGTATGCAACGTGGCTATTAAATTGCACAATGAATGACACGTAAAAGTAAATACTTGAAATGTCTAATATACCCTCAGTTTGTAAACTAATTGCCTTGAAGCACACAAGTCGAAACTAGTGGCTCTTTTATTATATAGATATTCATATCCTTGAGTCATAACATGTTTCTCAAATAGGTCTCTAGATATTGCTTTTGTAAAAAGATCAGCTATCATTCTTCGCGTAAGAATGTACTGTAAATTTATCTATCCACTTGCTATCATGTCTCTCACAAAGTTATACTTGATGTGATACTTGTGTATGCAATAGCCGCTTGACTATCACAATATAGAGTCATGGGACTCTGAGAGTTCTTTGTAATATCCAAATGCTCAAAGAATCTCTTCAACCAAACAACTTCTTGTACTGCAGATGCACAAGCCACGAACTCAACTTCCATCATCGAAAGGGTTGTAAAAGTTTGTTTCTTACTTTTTCATGAAATAGCATCATCATTAAGTAAGAACGCATAATCAGATGTTGATTTTCTATCATTCCGGTCACTAGCCCAATCCACATCTATATATCCTCTCAAGTATAAATCATGTTCACCATAACATAGGGAATAATCTGCAGTTCCCTTCAGGTATCTGAAAATTCTCTTCACAACTTTCCAATGATCTCTTCCAGGATTGGATTGATACCTGCTAACCAGACCTACGACATAACAAATGTATGTGCGAGTACACATCATAGCGCACATCAAGCTCCTAACAGCACTTGAATACGGAACTCGTGACATGTCTTCCTTTTCATTTTCAGTCTTGGGGACACATTTCAAGGCTTAAAGTTTCACCTTTCGCTATAGGAGTATCCATGGATTTGCAACTATTCAAAATTTTCTTTAGATAAGTTTCTTGAGATAGACTCAATAACTTTTTGGAACGATATTTTTGGATCTTAACTCCAAGGATATAGTCTGCCTCACCGGTCTCTTTCATGTCAAATAACTTCGAAAGCCATGACTGATAATTTTCAAGTACTCCAAATTATTTTGGGCTAATAAAATAGCGTCCACATAAAGAGAAAAAATTACAAACATTGCGGAATTTTTCTTCACATAAATGCAATGGTCTTCATTGATCATGGTGAAATCATACCTCCTTGTGAAATCTCAAATACCGCCTTGAAGATTGCTTCTGGCCATAAATAGATCTTTTCAATTTACGGACATTGTTTTCTTGGCTTTTAATGATGAAGCCTATAGGTTGTTCCATGTAAATTTTTCCGTTTTGTTGTCCATTGAGAAAAGTTGTCTTCACGTCCATTTGGTGTAATTCCAAATCCAAACATGCAACAATAGCCAAAAGTAAGCGAATTAAGGTAAACTTCACAACTAGTGAAAATATTTCCTCATAATCTATTCCAGCTTCTTGAGTAAAGCCTTTTTCCACCAATCATGCCTTGTATCTTTCTATTGACTCATCCGCTTTGCATTTAACTTTGAGAACCCATTTTCTCTCAATGGCTCTACGCCCAGGCGGAAGTTCAACTAGATCCCAGACTTTGATGGTTTTCATGGACTCTAATTCTTTTTTTATTGCTTTCATCCACTCATCTTTTCAGGGCTTAACAAAGCCTCAATCACAAACTTTGGCTCATCCATTTTGGTGGGAGATACCAAGAAAACATAATCTTCAATCTCATAAGTATATTTGGGTATATTTTTCCTAGTACAATTTCGTAGTTGAAATTCAAATTCGTCAGAAGGATTTTAGGATCGAGAACTCCCACTCGAATCAATGACAAGATCTTGATCGATTTGATTATCAACTATATCAAAAGATACTTGCTGACTATCTGAGTTCTACATTTCATAAAGAGACTCTCTATTCTTTACCTGGCCCTTCTTTGGAAAATTATTTTCCAGAAATGTGACATCTCGTGATTCAATATCAGTAACACTTTCTTCCTCTAATTCAACAATGAACACATACCTTTTGGAGTGTTCTGAATATCTTATACAAATACATTTCTTGCATTTTGGACCTAATTTACCAAACTTGCTAAAAGAATCTTTTACATATGCAGCACAACTCCAAGGTCGTAAATCATTTAAGTTTGGTTTATGAACAGTCCAAAGCTCATAAGGAGTGAAAAAAACTGATTTAAAAGGCACTTTATTCAATATGTAGGCTGCAGTCAATAACGAATCTCCCCAAAAGGAGATAGGTAAATTTGCTTGTGCCAGCATGGACCTTATCATATCCAATAATGTTCTATTCCTCCTTTCTGCTACACCATTTTGTTGTAGTTAACTGTTTAGTTATGCCTTTTTCGTTGCATAATTCTTCAATTTTTTTAATAGACATTCACGCCCTCTATCGGTTCTTAAGGTCTTAATCCTTTTGTCTAATTAATTCTCAACATCATTCAAATATTTCTTAAAGCATTCTAGTGCTTCAGATTTATGAGAAATCAAATAGACATAACCAAAGCACGTGAAATTGTCAATGAACATAATGAAATATAAAGCAACAGACCTAGCACTCACATTCATTGGACTACATATATTAGAATGGATTAATTGCAATAGAAAATTAGCTCTCTTAGCCTTTTCAAATAGTTTACGTGTAATTTTTTCGGCAAGATAATTTTCACAGGGTGGCATTTTAATTTTAGAGAAAGAACCTAAATGTCCTTCCTTAGCCAATATATTCATTGGATCCTGCCCTATGTGACCTAATCTTGCATATTATGTAATAACATCAACACCATTATTACTAGAATAATTTGCCATAACACAACTGTCAACATAGTAGTTATACGTAGAAGGATTATAATCTAATACAATAAAACCATCATAACGATGTCCAAAATCATAAAAACCATTGTCTAGGGTAATTCTAAAACCATTGCGACTAAAGTTCAAATAGAAATCTAAATCTAGAAGAACAGACACAAAGACTAAGTTTCGTCAAATTTCTAGAACATATAAGACGTCATGCAACATCAAAGATCGGCCACCATGCATGTCCATTATGCAAGTGCCTATTCCTTTGACTCAAGATTTGCATTATTTCCCACATATACATGCTGTGATCTAGGTGCAACTCGACGAAACTCTATAAACTCTTCTCTATCACGGCTCACATAGTCGGTGGCCCCTGAGTCTACAATCCATACATGATAAGATTCAGTTAGTAAAACAGTGCTAGAACATATATAGCACTAAGAGATGCATTTTGAAATGCTACCTTTTTCGGCTCAGTGCACTCACGAGCAAAATGGCCTGGAACTTGGCAATTGTAGCACTTCATCTTACTCTTGTCTTTCTTCTTGTGAAATCGTTTTCCTTTCTTGGAATTTAACATGTTTCTTTTCTTGGAGGATCCATCTCCGGTCTCATTACCATTTCTATCATTTTTTCAATTTCTCTTGCGATTGAAGCTTGATCTCTTTGTACCACTTGATTCTGCCACAAAGGCACTAGGTACAGCTTTAGCAACACCAAGTCGCTCATCTTCAAGCTCCACATGACGGGCAACATCAACAAAAGTTTTGATTGCTATCATTGTGGGTCAAGTTAACCTTCAAATATTTCCAATTATTGGGAAGAGACCGAATCACTGCCTGAACCTGCTGCTCATAAGAGAGAACATGACCAACACTTTTGAGTTGAGCAATCATATTTGATACACTACGGGAAACTGGACCTATGGCAATGATATTTGTCGCAACGGTTATAGAACCGTTGCAATAGAGGTCTATTGCAACGATTAAAACCGTAGCATAAGGATCTTGGTGCTATTGGCACACTTTTGCAATGAAAACGTTGCACTAGCATAAGAACCGTTGTAGTAGGAAGTGCTTATCGCAACGGTCATTGTATCCATTACGTTAAATACCTTTGTGGCAACGATTTATGGGATATACTATCTATTGCAATGACTATTGTTTCCCTCTTTATTTTTCCTACTTTTCATAATCCCGCTTAGTGATTCTTTTATTTTCTATTTTACTTTATTAATTTTATTTCTAATATAGCTTCAGACACATTGAAACAACCTCCCAATAAGGCTTTAGCACACTTAGATCTAAAGACCATATCTATCTCAAATTTGAAGAACGCATATACCAATCTAAAGGCTGCATCATCGAGCTCTCTTAGACCTGTGGAGGTCGATAGCCACCGCGAAAAGGGTAGGCTAATTGATTTAGGATTTCAAATTCATAGTCCATATATGATTATATCCAGGCAAGTAATTTTATTTTTGGTTTCAAAATTATCTTTTTTATCATTTTATATTTCTTCCAAAGATTAAAGAAGAATGTACTGAGTTCGGTGTGAGAGTGAGAGAAAAAAGAGGATGTTAGGAAATTAGGGTTTGGTAAAGTGTACGTTAGAGCAGGATTTTTGCTATCCGCCTAGGGTTTTCATAGTTGGTGTATATGGTGAGTATTTTTTGATATTTTCCCCTATTGGCCAGAAAATATTTCTTCCCAAAGCCATCTACGCAGCGGTAGAGCTTTTCACACTGGAAACTGGTAGCTCGGGGAGAACAAAAGAAAGATGTAAGTATAATTTTTTGTTATAGCATTTTTTTCTTTTCAGAAGATAAGCAGATTTCATTTCAAAAAACTTTGAGATATATGGTAGTGTAATTGAACGAAGTCTCATATTATTGACATGTGAATTTTGGGGGTTTGTTCTAGTATCATTCTTTTCTTGTTCTATTTATTAATTTATTATCGAGCCGATCATTTTGCTTTTGATTGAAGCATTTAATCAAAAGTGGGGATCTGTTAGAGGTTTTTCATATTATAATTCATGTCTATTTAAAAATGATGCCTTGATTGTGTTATTTCTGTATTGGCCAAGAAAAATATCTGGAAGTTGTTGCTCTTCCATGTTTTGATGGTATGTTGAACATTTAGACCCATATTTGTGGTATGCACTTCTTATTTTTCTTTTACTGACACAGAGTTCTTTTCATCTTCTAATTTTGGTACATATATGTTTATGAAGCAAAAAATGTTCATTAAAGAAAAATGGATTATATGATTTTGAGATTAAAACATCGATACAACAGACACCACTTTTGAATTAGAAATACTACATTATAAGATTGATTTAAACTACTCTACATAAAAGTTGCATTTTTTTGCGGTTACTATCTTTGTTGTGTGTTGATACCAATTTGGTTATGAAAAGTTCCCCCTAATTCTGGTTGGCATATCGATAACTTTCTGATGGATATAGCAGAAGGCATTAGTAACTTGCGTGGTGCTCCATATCATTAGACCATCTAGTATATATTATTGTAAAGGATATACTTATAGTTTACATTTACTGAATTAAGTTTCATTAAGATGCATCACTTGTAGTAATTCGTTTGGCATCCTTATAGATGAGTATTAGATTAAAAGTTTCTCTACTTGTCAGGTTTCTGCTGTAGACTGAGAAGATATCAATTTCTTAGCCTTCTATTTATGATTATGTGTAGAATTGAATCTTATGCTACAGTCTTGTCTGTTAATCTATTTGTGGCAAATTAAACCTTCCTTTCGTAAATCTTATCTTCGTTTGTTCCTCGTCTTAATTTTTTTTTTGTAATTTTAGTGCTGCCTTTTGACTTTTTCGCTTTTACTACTTGCCTTAAACTTTGTTGTCTTGAATTGCTGGATATAGAGAAATCTTGGAGGCAATATTCTCTGCTTTTATCGGGTAAGAAAGTACCAATTATTGCTTAGGAATTGGATAATGGTAAAGTGAACATCAACTCAATGTACGAGGTAATATTGGCCTTAATGATCAAACAACTGGTTTGTACATGGATCTCTCTCCTATAAACCTTGAGACAAGATTACAATCACCACTCAAATAATTATTTTTAATAGCTTTCTTAAAACTTTCCCATCTTTACATAAAGACAATATTTGTCTAAAGGTTTATTAAAGATGTATGAAGAATGAATAAATAGCTTTGTTGGAGTAATAGTAAAGTTACATGCAATTCATGTATTTTCCGGTAAACCACAACTTTATGATAGTATACTTTTCTGTCATGCTTAACTGTTGAGTGAAATCCATTTTGGTCTATTGCTATGTTGGAAAAGACAGAAGATGAGGGGAATCACTGTTTCGCTATGTCCTGAATAGTAAGGGCGATGTGTAAAAGCTATTGGTTGGCACTCATTTGAAGTTAAAATATCTAGCTGCTTTTGAGGTGAATTCTGCTTAACTGCTTAATTAGAGCTAATGATGTAGCTTTAGCTTGAAATTTATACTTACCATTTTACTGAAAATGGATTTTTGGAAAGTGATGCACTTCTTCGGTGTTACACAGATTGCTAAGAAATTGTACAGAGACCATCTGCACTCTTTCCTCATGAGACATCAAGCAAGATTAAATCATATTTTGGAGTTGTTTCATGGAGAACTGGTAAAAATTATCTAGTATTGTATGTTATAAATTTGACTTTGAAATGTGTTGATGCAACTTGCCAATTAATTTAAGGTTATGTAAAGTGTCATCTAATTCAATTTACAAGGATGTAACATTCTGTCACCTGATGCTTTGGCCCTTTTCCAATGATTTTCATATAAGAGTAAGGTTGAAAATTATTGTGCTCCAGCATGTAATTTAAAAGGACTGCTTAATGTTTTTGATCAGTAGTTTGTCTCTTACATGAATTGTGTAATTGCATCTTCTTAAGGCATTTTTAATTGTCAATTCAGACTGTCTTATAGAAATATAATTTGTAGGCCAAATTTATTAGCACCCACCAAACAGAAATCCAGTTTACACGAATGCTTCTTGCCAAATTTTTTTATTTTCAGGTGATTCTTTCTTATACTAACAGATTCCATTCATATTATGTTTCTTTCTACAAGCTATTTCAGGTTGAACATCAGTATTTATCCAACGAATAATTATAGAAGCATACTATAATTATATTAAATAAGGCATAAGTTGTTGACATCAACATGAATAAGTCAACAAGACTTATTATGAAAAGTAGACAAGGTCAAAGGTCTAGATATCTTATAGATAATTTTGACATTGAAGAAGTTAGTCACTTTGATTCTTTAATTTGTATATGTCTGAATATTTAGTCCCCTTCTGAGATCCATTCATAGTGCATGATTATTCCTATACAAAGTGCTCTGAATAGGTAGACTTATGCGGTATAATTTGCAACTTTTGATAGATTTAGCTGATTATTTCAAACTTAATGATTATTTTTACCATTCAAAGTTTTTTCTAACATTTCTTTTTCATCATTTGTAGGTGGATCAAATAAGCTAATGTGTATATTGAAGCAGTGAAGATGATATTGAGTCATATGAGATTGTTGATGAAACATTAGTTTGTTTAGATACTTTAGATTAATTTGTTTTAGAACTTCTAATTAATGTGCGAAATTCTGTATGTTACTCGTTGTATATTCTAAATGATAATTTTGATTATAAATAATAGTATCCTATCGTGATTTATATATCATTTTAGCGCATAAGTTTTTATTTAGATAAATAATTAACAACTAAATAAAAATGTACATATTTAGTTCAATAAACCATTGCAATAGCCCCAATAAACTGTTGCGATAAACCCCTATAACATAGCAAATTGTTACAACTCCTAATAATGGTTGCAATATGTAACCTGAACCGTTGCTATTGCATCCACAAACCGTTGCAATAGCCTCAATGACCGTTGCATAAAACGATATTACAACGATTTTGAACCGTTCCATTTGACTAAATGACCGTTGCAACAGACACGTCTACGACGACGATTATAAAACCGTTGCAACAAGCTTTCTTTGGCAACGGTTGGGAAACCGTTACACAGAACTGTTGCAATAGAGCTATTGGCACGCGATCTGATAGGACGGTCGATGAACCGTTACAATATGTCTGTCGCAACGGTTTCCTCTCTATTGCAACAGTTTTGGAACCGTTGCAATAGGTCTATTTTCTAGTAGTGACATCACCCTTAGATATTGCTTGACACTATGATCATGATGCTTTTTGTACGTGTCAAACTTGATTGTCAGCTGTCTAAGGCGAGTTACAGTTGTACCGCCATATGCCTCTCTTAAATATGCCCACATGGCTTGAGCAGAGGATATTGCTCACATTCATAGATGAGATCATCAGCAACTGAACTTACAATAATTCCATGGTGAAGCCTAGGTGCTTCACCATGAGAGCTTCCTCCGGTACCACTCCGAAATAAACCACCTCGAGTTTGAGCTCAAGGAGTAGGTTTGGAAGAATGATATGTACAAGCTTAATGAGCAACAAGACGGGGCCATCAAGGATCTTCCGCCCAAATTAGACAGGGTTCATAAGGAATCTTCGACCCTAAAGCGGGACCATGCTGACCTAGTCGAAAAGGTAAAGGTCTTTGATGTTAAAAATGAGAATCTGGTCATGGTGGCTAACAACACAACCTCGTAGGTCCAATAGAAGATCGACCGGTTTGACCAACTCCAAGCCAAGATAAACGAGGTCCAAGCCATGGCTGACAGGTGGGAAAGAAAAATAGACCTGCTGGCTTCGGAGAAGGAAATCACTAAGGCGAAGTTAGCATCGATAGAGGTCCAACTTCGAGTGGCGAAGGAGAAAGTTGATAACTGGTCTCAGCTGAATGACGACCTCCGAACACAACTGAGCTCGACTGTCATAGAGCAGGATGCCCTCAGTAGAGAATACGAGGCAGTGAAGTCCAAGTTGGATACAACCACCGTCGATGCTGACGAAATGGTAGCCCAATACAAGGCCAGTGTGGAGGCAACTGAGGTTCGCCTGAAGGAAAAGGCTGAATATATGAAGCGACTATCCCGAAGAGAGACTTTTGAAGAGATCCACGCTTGAGGTTTTGACCTGTCGGCTGAGATCGAGGAAGCCAAAAGGTCCAAGGTCGAGGCGAAGAAGCTTTATGACGGTACCGAAGGCTCTGAGGGTTTCGAGGGCTCCGAGGGATCCAAAGACTCCGATGGCTCTGAGTCGAGCCCCGGTGAAGACTAGGCGTGGATGCCTAAGCGCTTTTTTAGTTTTTGCCTTGTACATTTTTATTTTTATTTTGAGGCCGTTTCTCTTGGGCCTTTATAAGTATATTCCGGAATTTATATAGAATTTTCCCTTTCTGGCAATTTCATGTTTTTACTTTTTCAGCGTCTTTTCATAATTTCTATTCTTGTAATTCTTCTAATGCCTCAGCATAGAATCAAATATAGTCATACAGCGTTCGATTTTCAGAGGTAGAGCCTGGCTTGTATGCAACTTTGTTTGCTCGAGGTTTTGAAAACTCGGTGTGACTGGAAGTTTTTTCAAGACACTTAAGTGATTTTAGACGATGTTTTTGTCGAGGGTAACCTTTTAGCAGGTTTCGAGTTCTTATAAAGGCCTTAATTTATGATCATGAGCTTTGGACGTCTCCGATCCGTTTTTAGAGTGGCCATGGCCTTCACTATTTAGGCACCACTTAATAGGTTTGGTGCCTCCGGGATTTAGTAGCCCGAGTAGTTCAAACTTTTTTCAGATGATTGTCCCCGAGTAGGGGTGGCACTTGGGCTAGGTTATTCCCGAATAGGGGTATCCCTTGGGCTCGATAGTCCCCGAGTGGGGGTAGCCCATGAGCTTTTAGGATTCAGTATTTAAGAGGCAAGAAAATGTGTAATAGCAAGACGGAACCTCCTTTTATTTCTGTGTGTAATGTACATGATCAAAAATGCATAAAAGCTTGTATCATGGCTAAAGTGGACTATTTAGGCACGGTTCATACGACCGTTTGGCCCTTACAATGAATCCTAACCACCGAGCCTTAGCTTCTAGCATATAAGGTTTTCTTTTTTCCTTGCTAAAAACCTTAATCCGAGGGTAATGGCCCCCAGTATTCGAGGTCGAGCTTGAGAAGGCTCAGATACTGTTGATGTGGAATGAACGCCCATTGACTCCGATTTGAGACCGACCTTCGAATCTAAGTTAGCACTTTTGCTGTTGCCTCATTAAAAATCTTGCCGAAAAACCTATTTTGGGACAAAATTGGTTCAAGGGAAAAAGAGTGCAATGCGTGTTTTCAGACCTAATAGCCACATCCATCCTTGGCCGTTGCCTGCAAGTGTTAGTCTGATTCGTAACATGATTAAAGAGTATTTAAGATCATACCTTAGCAATAGTACCACTTTAAGTGCGTCACGTTCCAGTAATTCGGTAGTTGCATACTGTTTCCCGCTTCGAGTTTGTATGAGCCTTTATCGGTAATTTCGATGACTCTCCCTAATATTGAAATGTTGAGGTTGGCTCTTCGGTTGTAGTATCTCTCTATATGTTGTTTTTAAGTGGCCAACTGGACTAAAGCTGCCTCACACCTTTCATCCAATAGTTCCAGGCTCGTAATTATAGCCTTACCATTTGACTCTTCGGTCGCATATTGGAACCTGAGGCTCGGTTCTCCTACCTCAACTAGTATCAAGGCCTCATCCCTATAGACCAACAAAAATGGAGTGGCCCCGGTACTAGACTTCGAGGTTGTACGATATGCCCATAGGACTTCAAACAAGATTTCCTTCCATTCCCCTTTGGCATCGGTCAACCTCTTTTTAGGTTTTGAAGTATGGTCTTGTTTGTTGACTCCGTCTATCTGTTCCCACTAGGATGATAAGGTGTTGATAGTATCTTTTTAGTCTTGTGATCTTCGAAGAATTTGTTTACCTTGCTGCCGATGAATTGCCTCCTATTATCGCACATGACTTCGGCCAGTATCTCAAATCGACATACTATGTGGTCCCAGATGAAGTCAATGACTTCTTTCTCCCGAACCTTTTCGAATGCTTGAGCCTTGACCCATTTGGAGAAATAGTCAGTCATGAATAGTATGAATTGAGCTTTATCGGGTGTCCATGTCAGGGGACCAACGATGTCCATCCTCTATTTCATAAATGGCCACGGGGACAGGACCGAGTGTAGTAGCTCTCCCGGTTGATGGATCATCGGTACGTGTCTCTGGAAGCTGTTGAATTTTTGTACAAAGTCCTTCGCATCCTTCTCCATTTCGATCCAATAATAGTCAGCCCTGATTAATCTTCGAACTAAATATTCTGCCCCCGAATGGTTTCTACAAGTGCTTTCGTGAACTTCTCCAGGGCGTACTCGGTATATCCCAGCCCCAAGAATCTAGCTAACATGCCATCGAATGCTCTTTTGAATAGTGTCCCTTCGACCAAGCTAAATCTGACAGCCTTGATACGCAGGACTCTCTATTCTCTAGGATCCAAGGGCAGCTTCCCAGTTTTCAAGTAGTCTATGTACTTGTTCCTCCAATCCCAGGTCAAACTTGTTAAGTTTACTTTGGCATGGCCCTCTTCTATCATTGACTTCATGAGTTGTATGACTGTTCCCGAACTGAATTCATCATCATCAACTGATGACCCCTAGTTAGCCAGAGCAGTAGTCTCGCTGTTTTGATCTCGGGGTACGTGTTATAGGGTCCATTCCTTGAATTGATGCAGTATTACCTGTAACTTGTCTAAATACCTTCACATTCGTTCCTCTTTTACTTCGAACGTTCCATTGACTTGATTTACCACGAGGAGGGAACACACTTAGCTTCGACCACCTCGGCCCCAAGGCTCTTAGCCAATTCGAGACCTGCAATCATGGCCTCATACTCGGCCTCATTGTTAGTCAATTTCATAGTTCTAATAGATTGCTTAACTACGTTCCCCGTAGGAGGCTTTAGCACGATGCCGAGCCCGGACCCCTTTGCGTTCGAGGCACCATCTGTAAAAAGGGTCCAAATTCTCAAGGAAGTCCCCAAGTCTAACAATTATTCTCTTTCAACTTTGGGCACTAAGGTCGGCATAAAGTCGGCCACGAAGTCGGCCAAAATTTAAGATTTTATGGCGATTCAGGGCCGATACTCAATATCGTATCCGCTTATTTCGACGACCCATTTGGCCAACTATCCCGAGAGCTCGTGCTTATGATTGTGCATGATCTTTCTCAGTGGATAAGAGGTCACGACACATATGGCACTCGGTCCTGTGGCCATGAGTGCCATGATACTTACTCATCTAGTTATGATCTCTCTGGGTAGGGTCAGATTGTAATGGTTGAGGCCACTTGGTCTCCTTGATGCATCCAGTGGCTGATACGATACTTGCTGCATCAATGCTGAAGTTATACTCTGACAATCTTGGAGCTTCCATTCCCCCGAGCGGCCTGTCGAAACCATTTTTGCTCATTATGCCTCGGTTATTGGGCCCTCGATCGCTTCTCTTTTCGTTCATTGTAGAGTTGCACCCAGACCTATTTCCCTTTCAATCTGCACTATATGGTTGGTATCGATCTCGGACCGGCCTTGATTTATGATCAACGACTCTATTAGGTCTGTCGTCAGTTCTTATGGGATGAACGGACCCGAAAGGTGCTTCGAGTTGGTCGTCCTCGACTTTGATTTTTGATTGGTACCTGTTGTGGACGTCGGCCCAAGTT